CATAGGCAAGTGCTCTATCACTGAGCTATATATGACCCCTGATAACCAGTGATGGTGGCACACACCTTCAGCACCCGAGAGGCAGAAGCAGGTGGATATCTGAGTTCAAGGCCAGCCTGGTCCACAGGGCGAGTTCCAGGACAGCTAAGACTGATTTTGGTTTTTGGATTTTATTATTATTATTAAACCCTATCTCAAACAAAACAAAAACAAACAAACAGTGTATCCCTTGCTGGGTTAGATTCAATATCCATACTGGATTGTGGACATTTTGAGAATCATGAATGAAATATGAAACTACTTTTGGACATAAAATTTTGGTTACATTCTCAGTTTGTGTTTTCTTTCATAAATATTAGTCTACATTCATACATCCAAAACTCAACAAGAATGCAAGCTTTGAGTATCATGTTGGCTTCTGTCTGTTCTCACTGTAATTAAGTTTGACTTACGCTGATACTGTTTTGTTTTTAATTGTTTTATATGAAGGGCCAAGTGCCACAAAGTTTTCAAATCAAAAAGAAGTAAGTATGGCTGTTGGCTGGCAAGTGTTGTCACCAGCAAGATCTAAAATGTGGGTGTCCTTGCATTTGGGCATAGATGTTAAGAACTGAGATGGCATCTTGGTGGATTTTTCCTTTGATGAGTGTGCAGCGTCCTTCCCCATCTCTTGAGTGATTTTGGTTGGAAGTCTACTTTGTTAGATCGTAGAATAGCTATACCAGCTTGCTTCTTGGGTCCATTTGCTTGGAAAATCGTTTTCTAATCCTTTACTCTGAGGTAATGTCTATCTTTGATGTTGAGGTGTGTTTCTTGGATGCAACAGAAGGATGGATCGTGTTTTGGAAACCATTCTATTAGCCTGTGTCTTTTTATTGGGGAATTGAGTCCATTGATATTGAGAGATATTAATGGCCAGTGATTGTTAATTCCTGTTATCATGGTGTGTGGGGGGGTAGTTTTCCTTCTTTTGGTTTTTCTGGTTTGAGATTATTTCCTGTGTTTTCGTTGTTGTAATTTACGCTGCAAAAGGGACCTTGGCAGATCGGAGCAAACAAATGCCACAAAGTCACACCATGCAACAGGTTTTACTCAAGAAGTTTATTGGGGGAGGGTGGGTACTCAGAGGCTGCCTCTGAGCGAGGGTGGAAGGGAAAGAGAGCAGGAAGAGAAGGCACTGGCTTTTTATAAGGGGGCACAGCACATTCACACAGGGAGTGTGTATGACTTCTGGCAACAGTGAAGATGTGCCCCAGATGGTGGCTGATAGTGATGTGGCCTGCTGTCACTAGGTTACTGAAAGTGGGCTTGGGGTGGGGTTTTCCAACATTCATGAGTGTGGTTAACCTCCTTGGGTTAGAACTTTCCTTCTAGTACCTTCTATAGGGCTAGAGTTGTGGATGGATATTGTTTAAATTTGACTTTGTCACAGAATATCTTGTTTCCTCCATCTATGGTGATGGAAAGTTTTGCTGGGTATAGTAAATTGTTAAAGAACAAAATTTTCACATCACATTCAGACAATATATTATTTCAGCTTAGAGATGAGAGCGTTAAAAGAAGCCAAAAAACCAGGTGGATCACGCTGCTGGAAAACTTTCACACAACTCCTCCTCCGCACACTCCTGTTGCCGCTCTGGTCCCTCTGCTGTTCTCAGGCAGTATCTGTCCCCGACCCTGCCGGCAACATGAAGCACAAACCTTCAGAGCTTTTTCCTCTTAAGGGGCAGGAGGTAGGAAGGGCCAGCTGTGGGGATGCGAGCCTGTGGGCCGGACACTCGGGAGGTAGCAGTGGGATTGTCGGTCCCAGGTCTGCCTGTGCTGTGTAGTGAGACCCCCATCTCTACAGGGGAGCGGGTTCGAGGGAGAGAGAGAATACCCAGAACAGGGGCCCCTCTAGGTGTGACCACGGAAGTGCGAGCTTTCACAGTTCTGTAGCTCTGTGGTGGGGACCTTTCAAGAACGGCTGAGTGAGTCCAAGGGGGTCAGCACGGAAATCAAAAGTCAAGATGTGGCCAAAGACAACAGAGGATACTGGAGGTCTTTGCAAGCCCCTAAAGAGAACACTGCCTGCCTTATCGGGGCAGGTCTCAGTCAGCAAATACACTCACTAAATGCAAAGCCTCTGGCTGCTCGTGGCTCCTCACACTTGCCGCCTCATGAGGGCAGCAACATCACACAGGACGGTGTCCCCTCCCCAAACCACATACCAACCAGCTCTGATGGCACAGCTGTCTGTTAAGGTGGTGCCACTCACTGGACTTTCTTATACGGGCAGTCTGGTCCCCTCCGGGCCCTAAGGGGAGACATTGGAAATGCTGCTTCCCTCTGAAAGCCTTCACTTCAGGTCCCTCTGCTGTTTTGGAGGGGACAAAATGGTGGCTGTGTTGCGGGGAGAGCAGCGGCAGGGGGATTTGGGTGGTACTGACTTCCAAATACTTGTACTAGGGCTGGGCATGTAGCCAGGTGCCAGGAGCCTGCCTCTACCTGATCGCCACAAGAAAACAACGCAAGCAATGCTAGCAAGTCAGTGCTTTGGGGCACGTGCCTGCGCTTCCCCTCAGCATCTATTTTCCTTCTGTCTTTATACTCGGCCACCGCTCACTCAAAACTTACACTCTTTTTACTAATCGCAAAAATAAATAAATAAATAGTTACATGATGAACAGGTTCAAAGTAAATTCTCAACCTAGTTAAATCTACCAAATTTCTCTTTGCTATTTCTTTCTCTCCTTTTAAGTTCTGAATGTCTGTCTCCATCTTGTCTGTGCACGGCCCTTGGAGTTGTAGAAGCCACAAGGCTTCTCTTAGCTGGCACAATGAGGCTGGCCGGGCAGGACCCGGATCCCCTGGCATGCGGCTGATTCCTCCCACTGACTGACCCTCTGCCTCCAGACTCCCTGTTCCAGGAAGCTGACAGACCTGCCTGCCTTAAGCCACTAATAACCGACAGTTGTGTGCGTTTGCGCTGACGAATTTGAGGAATGGTTGCTGTTGATGCCGCCATTGCCTGGAGCTAGGTTCCAGGCCATGTTCTTACATGATACTGTCCCCTATGTGTTCATGTACCCCCTCAATCGACCACTAAATCTGTTTCTAGACTCTTCTTTGAACTTATGGAACTTTTAATAAATTCTCCTGTAGACAACACCACTTAGATGTTCCCCTGGCACCTCAACATGCCCAAAACAGAAATGCGTGGTCTCTTCCCAAACTTGTTCATTCCCAACATACTCCTAACAGTGAACAATTCTGTCTTAGTTACAGTTTCAATTGCTGTGATGAGACACCATGACCATAGCAACTTTTATAAAGGAAAACATTTACTTGGGGCTGGCTTACAGCTTCAGAGTTTCAGTCCATTAGCATCATGGCGGGAAGCATGGCAGCATGCAGGCAGACATGGTGCTGGAGAAGGAGCTGAGAGTTCTACATCTTGATCCACAGGCATGTGGATCAAGTGAACTGTGTTACTGGGTGTAGCTTGAGCATAGGAGACCTCAAAGCCCACCCCACAGTGACACACGTCCTCCAACAAGGCCACACCTCCTAATAGTACGGCTCCCTTTGGGGCCATTTTCTTTTAAACCACCCCAGGCACCAACAGCATTTCAGTCACTGGAACTGGAGACCCAGGAGTCACAATGCCTCTCCTTCCTTCCCTCCCGTGTCCCAACCTACCTTGTCCTTGTCCCCCAGTGTTGGCCCTCCAGGACCGAACCTAGGACTCATCAGCCTCTGAGACATTCCTACCCGGTTTCTTTGTCTCCTGTGATGGCCCCTCCACCTGTTTCTCTGCCTTGCAGTCACCAGGATCGTTCTTATATGTAGATCTAGTCAGATTCCTTCTCTGGTTAAAGTTCTCCTTAACACATGGTTGAGTCTCTTAACATAAGATTCGTTGCGGCCAGGCTGTGGTGGCGCACGCCTTTAATCCCAGCAGGGGCAGAGGCAGGTTGATCTCTGTGAGTTTGAGTCCAGACTGGTCTACAGAAAGAGTTCCAGGACAGCCAGGGCTACACAGAGAAACCCTGTCTTGAAAAACAAAAAGAAAACAAAACAAAACAAAAATCACAAAAGAGTAATTGTGCTTTTATTGAACTGATCATTTCCAAATTAGTCTTTCAGCTCAACAGAGTACAGATGTTGCCCAGCTGTGGAGCCTGGTATTCAGGCAGGACACACGCAGATCGTAAACTTCTAGCTTTTGTAAACTATGGGATGTAGCCCGTCACTGAACCAGGAGTCATCTAATGGATTAGAATCAGCCTTAATTTAGAAAAGAAAAACAGAATAGTAAGCAATAAGGTATTGTTTGTGAACTTTCATTATAAAATATGTCTTTTAGTGAGTTGGGGTAAAATGAAAATTAATAAGCAGGCACTTTTTTAGTTTGGTTATTTTGTCTTTTTTGTTTGTTTTATTTGGCAAGATCAGCTTTGTTAAAAAAAAAAAATCTGAAACCATAGGTAGCTGGAAAATGGCCCATCCCTGTGGATGTCCACAAGTCTCAAAGCTAAGCTTCAAGAAGGATACATCCATCAGGTGTGGTGGCGCACACCTTTAATCCCAGCACTGGGAGGCAGAGCCAGGCGGATCTCTGTGAGTTCAAGGCCAGCTTGGTCTACAGAGTGAGATCCAGGACAGCCAAGGCTACACAGAGAAACCCTGTCTCAAAAACAAACAAACAAAAAAAAAAAAAAGGACACATCCACTGTAGAGTTCTAGGACTCTGAGGAAACAGAGAAAGTTCAAATCAATCGCGAAAGCCCGGGACTGTGGCCACATGCCACTGAGGCTCAGGCTGCTGTAGAATATTCCATTGTTCTGGAAATGTATCTTCACCTTCTTCAGCCTCATGACTGAAGTAAAAATCTCATATGAATTCCCTGCTGGTGAGTGTGGTCACTGATTTGAGTTTAGGAGGATCTAACTGGCTGCTTCTCCAACCTTCTGCTTAGAGCCAATGAGGCACCACCATTCTGTTTCCATGGTGACAGAAGAAACAAACCCTCCCTCCATCTCCCCAGAGCCAACCTCCCAAGTCAGGCGCAGTCAGAGACTCTGGGCAGAGGGTGACTTTCTCAAGTGTGACTCTCACTGAAATACTGGGACAGGTGAGCTGGCTTCTCAGGGAAGCTCCTGCCCGCTGCCCGCTTCTGAAAGCCGTTGGCTGGGTCTGCAGGTTTCCAGCAGGTCCTGTGGATTTCTGCCTGGGCAGCTCAGCCGCTTGGGGATAAGCCCAGAAGCCATGAGTCTGAAACATCTTGATCCAGTGTAAAATGACCACGATTTGGGGCTGATGGGGTCTGGTTTCCCTGCAACATTATGGTTTCTTTAAGACCTTGGGAAGGAACCACGGGGGAATGAATCTTTGAAAGAATTAAGGTAAGATCTGGAAAGATTTTCCTGCGGGCTGTTTATAACCCAGATCCTTTTTTTTCCTTTCATTTTTCTTTATTAAGAAAGTTTCTACTCACTTCACATATGACTCACAGATCCCCCTCCTCCCTTCTCCCACCCCCCAGCCCTCTTTCCCAAGCCACCCCACATCCCCACATCCCCCACATCCCCCACATCCCCCACATCGAGGTCTCCCATGGGGAGTCAGCAGAGCCCAGCACACTGAGCCTAGGCAGGTCCAAGCCCCTTCCCACTGCACCAAGGCTGTGCAAGGTGTCACACCACAGGCGCCGGGTTCCAGAAACCTGACCATAGACCAGGGACAGATCCCGATCCCCCTGCCTGGGTGCCCCCCAAAACAGTTCGAGCCAAACAACCGCCCAGATCCATCCATCCTTCCTTCCTTCCTTCCTTCCTTCCTTCCTTCCTTCCTTCCTTCCTTCCTTTCTTTCTCTCTCTCTCTTTCTTCTTTCTTTCTTTCTTTCTTTCTTTCTTTCTTTCTTCTTTTCTTTCTTTCTTTCTTTCTTTCTTTCTTTCTTTCTTTTTCTTTCTTTCTTCTTTTTTTTTTAGATTGATTTATTTATTATGTGTACAGTGTTCTGCCTACATGCATGCTTGCAGGCCAGAAGAGGGCACCAGATCTCATTACAGATGGTTGTGAGCCACCATGTGGTTGCTGGGAATTGAACTCAGGACCTCTGGAAGAACAAGCAGTGCTCTTAACCTCTGAGCAAGCTCTGTAGCTCACAGGCAGCCCTCCCAGCCTTGAGGGAAACACCGGGGAGATAATACAGGAAAGGAAAACGGGGAAACACACATATACACACACCACACACACACATACCACACACACATACACACATACCACATACAACATACATGCACCACACACAACACACACACACAACACACATCACACACATACCACACACACAACACACATCACACACATACCACACACACAACACACATCACACATACCACACACAGCAACACACATCACACACATACCACACACACCAACACACACATACACACATACATACCACACACAACACACATGCACCACACACACCAACACACACATACCACACACACATACACACACAACACACATGTACCACACACACCAACACACACATACCACACACAACACACACATACCACACACAACACACATGTACCACACATACAACACACACATACACACACAACACACACACATACCACACACAACACACATGCACCACACACATACCACACACACCAATACACACATACACACACACCATACACACATACCACACACAACACACATGCACCACACACACATACCACACACAACACACATGCATCACACACACACACCACACACATACACCACACACACATACCACACACAACACACATACATCACACACACACAACACACACATACCACACACAACACACATGCACCACACACACAACACAGACACCCAACACACACACACACACAGAGTAAATGGCCTTTGTCAAAAGGCACCCTGTGTGCTCCCTACCACCTCTCTTCTCCCAGTTCCTCCCGACACCCTCAGCCCCACCCTGTGATTCCTGATAGCCCACATCTGTTTTGATGGCTCATCAGTTTTGTGTTACTGGCTTTAAATGCTTTGAATATGGTTCCAGTGGATGCAAAGGGAACTTTTTTTTTTTTAAGAGCAAATTAATAAATATCAAAGCATTTTTAGAATGAGGAAAAAGGAAACAAACATTTACCAATACAAAGCTGGTTAAAATATAAATAAATGCATTCATAGACATTTACAGCGGCGGCGGCGGGCCAAGAAAACGGCATGGTGATGATGGAGGCTTGCTGAGCCCTAATGTGGCTCCAATCAACCACATCCAGTGGCTCCCAACAGCCTGTAACTCCGGCTCCAGAATATCTACTGCTCTCTTTTGGCTTCTGTGGGTTCCTGAACACCTGTGGTATACACTCACACAGATAAAACACACATAAAACTAAAAATAAATCTTTTTTTAAGTTTTAGAACTGCAATGATGTAGAAACTGATCTCAGACTTATTTGAAAGATTGTTTTAAATTTGCTTTAAAATAATGATGTTAGAGGATTGAAATGGAAGGCCTGGGACGTAGGGTTAGTCACTTCGACAACTGTTAAAAGTATGGGATAGGTGAGGTTATTATACTCTTTTCTACACTTGGTATATTTTTAAATTTCTTGGCTGCAAAAAAACTTAACATTTTTTAAATGATGTCGTTTTGCATTCCTGTATAATAGAAACTCAAGGCATTATCTTAAACAATGCATCCAAGGTGTAAATATAGTTTGCTTCTGTTTATGAAAAACTTTGTAAATCTTTAGAATGCAGAAAATTCTGGAAGGCATTCCTTCAAATATTTTCAGTGGTCATGTTTGGATGTTATGTTTTTGATATTTTTTTATTTCCTTGGTGTTTTCTGTTGTGGTTGTCTCTATAATGAGCTGCTTTTATCATAATAACATACACACACACAAATCATACAAATCAACCCATAGTCCTTTTTTTTTTAGTAGAAAGAAAAATTTCTATGTGCAAAATTGTCGTTCACAGGGTTCGTCTCCATGTGCAGGCCGAGAACTCCCTTAGGTCTGATTAGATGTGCACAGCAACGCAAACCAGCATGCACTGGCTTGGACAGGACTTTTGTAGTCAAGGCAATAGGCTCAGAAAAGAAGGTTTCCTGCAGTCCAGTGTCTAATGAGTAAGGTCAGGCCCACCTGATTTCAAAGCACCCCCAAAACTGTTATAACCTGTCATCAGGGGGACAGGCTACATAACCCTGACGTTCTGACCCAATTTTCCCTCTTTAATACAAAGTCTCTTTCTCTTGGTAAGGTCGTATGTGCCACAGGTTTGGGGGATGGGTACAGAGGCGGGTCTTGCTGAATGACAAGGACACCATTCACCCTGCTACAGAGTCATCAGATCTGTCAACTCCCTACATCAGGGTCGTCAGGAGGCGTACCTCTGGGGTCACCTGACAGCTGTCTTCTGTGCAGGAATCATGGTGGAGACTTGTTTCTGGTTCCCTTCTGCAATTCAGGCAGGTGGCCTGAATTGAGAAACAGGGAGACACATTCATGCTCTAGTTGAAGTAGACGATAGGACGAGTATCCCAGGAAGTTCTGTGCGGGATCTGCTGTGGGGATCTCTCGTCCTGCAGAGTGAGCTAATGTAAACCTGAGGAGGAACAGGCCACAGAAACCAAGGGAACGTGTGCTCCCAAATGCAATGTGCTACCTCTGTGACATCGGCCTGTCACCTGGAAGCCTGGGTAGCAATAGCTGAGCAAGGACCGTATAGTTGAATTACGGCGATAACTCAACTGTGGAAGATGCTTAGTTGCTTTCAGGTCAAGTGGCAAGCTGTGAGGCGTCATTCTACACAGAGAGCCTACATTAGCTCCACGTCCACGGCTGTTCTTCGGGCTGCCCCTGGATCCTTCCCAACCTCTGTTTGCTTTGGTTCTGAGTGGTTTAACTCTGGTGTTTTCTCATCCCAGCCAGAGGCCCCAAATGAGCAACCAAGACTGCATCTGACCCCGACCATGTATCATCCCAACCCTCTCATCTACTGCACCTGCTGGGACCCCTGGAACTTGGGACCACGGAAGCTAATCAAGACCCCTCATCCTCTTCCAAAGACCTCTTCAGGGAAGCTTAAGTAAGAATACCCTGGGCTGGGCTGGGTAGAGGAAGTGGCGGTTTCTTTTGTAGTCCTCCTTGTCTTATAAGGTTCCCCAGGCGAGAGCACGCCACCAATTCCCCACGGAACAGGAAGCCTTGCTTTCCTGCCTTTCCGACCAGCCTGGCTGCTGCCCTGTTCTGACAGGCCTGTCTGACTCAACATTTCAATAAAGAAGGCTTGAGGGGCTGGAGAGATGGCTCAGTGGTTAAGAGCACTGCTTGCTCTTCCAGAGGTCCTGAGTTCAATTCCCAGCAACCACACGGTGGCTCACAACCATCTGTAATGAGAACTGGTGCCCTCTTCTGGCCTGCAGGAATACATGCAGACAGAACACTGTATACATGATAAATAAATCTTTAAAAAAATAAATAATAAATAAATAAATAAATAAATAAATAAAAAAGAAGGCTTGAGTCTGCAATTCTGCAGGGGTGTGTGTGTGTGTGTGTGTGTGTGTGTGTGTGTGTGTGTGTGTGTGTGTGTGACCCAAACAGAGCTTTGGTGCCAGCTGTCCCTCCTCAGGAACAATGGCTTTGGGGCTTGCCCTGATGACCAGGACTTCTTGGAGATAGTAGACAAGAACAAGGAGGAGAGCTGAGGTCTTCAAGGCCTTCAGTCTTCATGACTCTGGTGGTCACGCCATACTTTCCAATTCGGAGTCACCACGGATATGCCCTTAATGGGGAGTGTTGAGACATTTTTTTTTTAATTTCCAGTGTTTATTTATCACTTTCAGGCAACCTCTTCCTACACCAGTTTCAAGAGAACACAACTACCTCCAGTCCCAACCGATAAAACCTGTCGTTTCCCCAAAGTAAGTATCTGAGAGCTCCAGAGGACAGCCCTGCCCACACCCACTGTGGATTTCTCCATCACTGAGGCCCTGTACCAACAGATTCCTCAGTTACCCAGGGGTCTCTCTCTCTCTCTCTCTCTCTCTCTCTCTCTCTCTCTCTCTCTCTCACACACACACACACACACACACACACCACCTCCAACAGAGAGAGGTGTCAAAAATGTGCCAGAGCCGGGCGGTGGTGGCGCACGCCTTTAATCCCAGCACTCGGGAGGCAGAGCCAGGCGGATCTCTGTGAGTTCGAGGCCAGCCTGGGCTACCAAGTGAGCTCCAGGAAAGGCGCAAAGCTACGCAGAGAAACCCTGTCTCGAAAAACCAAAAAAAAAAAAAAAAAAATGTGCCAGAATCCATTAATTTTTTCCCCCCCACCCCAAACCAAATCCATGGTGATTTCAGCTCAGAGGAGGAGAGGAAGCAGTGAGTGGCAGAAAGGACACACATAGCCTGCAGAGAGATGGGCAGGTGGAGGGGTAGGGCGGAGGACGGAGGTTGTCAGGTAACCGACTGAGATGCAGACGTTCCTTCATCTGTATGTTCTCCAAGTGGGGCCACTGCGATCATGGCAGAGAATGTCAGTCAGAGAGAAGTGACCTCTGTGGAGATGACCGCTAGGGACATGGGAAGCCTCCAGAAGCTGGCAAAGGCAAGGCTCGGTTCTCCCTGGGAGAGCTCCAGCGTGCAGCCCCACCCACATCCATTGTGGACTGTCCCCTCACTGAGGCCCTGAACCAGCGTGTTCCCCAGCTCCCCAGGGTTCCCCCAGAAGGTCAAGCAACCGGCCTAGGAGACCAAAGGTCAGAGGTGGCCGCATCAGCGCTCATGCCCTAGGCTCGGCCTTTCGGCTGCTCCCGTTGTTTTCTGAGCGCATCCTTCTCTTGCAGAGACAAAGCCCAGACAGGAAAGCCGGGGGAGAGCAGCAAACTTCCTCCTGTGAGTAGAAATGGGGAAAGGACCGGAAGAGCGTTTATCTAGCACCTACTGTGTGCAAGCATGGGGTTTTTACACACTCACTCTGCCGAATCTTAACAGCGAGCCTTGGAGCAATCCTCCTTGGGTTAATGGTGCACATTTTATGTAGCTGGGAAGCGGCCGAACTGTAACTTAACCCCAGCTATTCTCCCCTGCTTTGTGTAAGTCTCTGGGGGAAACAGATGGTGCTTGTTCAGGCTACGACTCCTGCCCCAATACAGGAAACCTCTGCCATAGTGGGAGCCGCAAATCCTGAGGCAGGGGCTGTCAGGGCACCTAAAGCCAGCAAAAGCAAAGACATAGGCCTCAGAGCATGAGTCGCCATGGTTCCGACACAGGCATGAGACCTGGTTATATTTGCACTTTAGAAAACGCCCTTTCTCGTAGGACATTCTGACTACTTTTTATTTTTATCATTTCACCATTCCCACCCCCACCACGCCTTCCTAAATAAGGACCACACAGGCCTTTAAAGGGCATCATTAATGGTCGGGAACAAAATAAGCAAAGAGAATCACTGCTCGATGGAAAGGTCGCGAACATTGCGGGCACCAGAGCGAAAAGCAGAGACCCGCTGGTGTCTTAAGAACCCAAGCACAAGATACTGGGCCCTTGGTCCATGATGGGACAAGGTTTAAAGGAAGGCGAGGCAGAGATGCCAGTTAGGAGGTGGCCACCACGGCCAGGGTGACTTGTGGTACTGCAGAGTGGTCTGCACACGTCTAGAAGCTGTGATCGTATCCACGTTGGCCCATGACTGCCAGGATTCAGTCCTGGCAGCTAATGAGGGAAGGGGATGAACTCACCGCATCTGTCTGCACCCACGCTAACCCTCTCCTTGTATCTTATTTTGTTGTTCTTCCCCTCACAAAAGCCCCTTGGAGGAGTTATTATCACCATTTCTCTGAAGAGGAAACTGTGTCACAGAGATGTGAAGTAGCTCCAGGGCCAAATATTTTAAAAAATTGGCCTGTCCAATTCCGAAAGTTGAACAGCTCCCACAATGCCCAGCTGCTGGCCACCGTGGAGGATGGGGAGGGAGGGGGAGATGGAGTGGTGTGGAAGGATCAGTTGGAACTGCTGAGTTTGAGGGGCCGGGGGCGGGGGATTTGGGATTGGATCTGAGATTGGATTGGAGGGTAGTGGCTGGAGGAGGCCCAGAAGGGTTGTGGGCCCTGGATCTCAGCAGCACAATGTCTCTGTGTGTAAGACGTGAGGAAGCCCACAGCAGGGCAAGGAATCTCAGCTTCTCCAGGCTCACGGTTTCTCTTGTTTCTCTTTGCCTTCCACCTGGAGACCCAGGAAGTGATTGACGTGTCACCTGGCTATAAACTTGTTCGAAATCGAGAGCAGATTTCAGTCACCTTGGGAGATGAGATGTTCAGTAGGAAAAAACACTCAGAATCGGACATCTTGAGCAAAATCAAGTTTTCCAGGTAAAGTCTTTGGCTCAACACCAGTTTCTCAGAGTTGGCTCTGCCCAGCTAGCCAGCCCAGCCTGGCCCCAGTAAATACCTGATATCCACGTCCACGTCGCAGGTCCCTGCTCAGAAAACAGCCCAGCTAGCATGACTTACACTAAAGAGGAAAGCACTCCTGCCAGGGAGAGACAGGTGAAATATTCATAAATAGTCTGGATTCTGAGTGTGGGAATTAAGAGCAAAGCCAGTTTCTGGAAGACTGGAGTATGCATCTCTTTCTCCATTATAAGTGGTCCAAAAATGCCCATGGCTCTGGGAGATGCAGTTCGGGAGGTTCTGACCTGGCACGTCCCATCGAGCACCAGCCATTGCTCTTTCTCTGAAGCCCTCCTCTTTTGCGACCCTCTGATGTCATGCTCGTACCCATACATTTCAATTCTACCTCCCAGACCTCTCACTCACGTCTTCTGTTTCCCCGCTGTCCTTCCTGAATTCAGGCCTCTCCTTACTGTAGGACTAGATGGCTTTCCCGGTGTCTCCTCCATCCAGCTTTAGTCTGCTGTGAGAAATATTGTTCTCAAGACACAGTGGCCCTGTGTTGGAGTCCAGCTCCGACCTGTCCAAGGGTTCTTGAGGGGAGGAGAGAGGAATGAGGAAGTATTAGAACTTAGAAACATAGAAGGAGACGATGAGAAAGACAGAGACACAGGATAGCTTCCGGAGGGCCCTGGATCAATATCCAGCTGCCTTAAGATTTATTCTAATGGGCTTTTTTTTTTTTTTTGGTTTTTCGAGACAGGGTTTCTCTGTGTAGCATTGCACCTTTCCTGGAACTCACTCTGTAGACCAGGCTGGCCTCGAACTCACAGAGATCCTCCTGTCTCTGCCTCCCGAGTGCTGGGATTAAAGGCATGCACCACCACCGCCCAGCCTAATGGGCTTTTTATACACTGCCCAGGGGAGAGGCAAAAGACCTTGCCTTTTCAAGATCAAAGCACACCGTACAGCCAAGTGTAGACCCTTTCAAACACCTGGTAACCACGCCCGTGGTCAAACCATCCCCTTATGCAGCCCTGCTGGGTAAAGCAAGCTCAGATTCTCTGACCCTGAGTAAGGTCTCACCAGAAAGCCTCTGTGGGCCCCCACAACCCTGAATACAGTACTGTGGGGAGAAGGAGGTTGTGGGAGCAGGGCCAGGTAGATCTCTGTTATTTGGAGACCAGCCTGATCTACATAGCAAGTTCCAGGACAGCCAGGGCTGTGTAGAGACCCTGTATCAAAAACACAAAAACAAACAAGAAAAGAGGTTGTTGTTCCAAAGGATCTGGAAAGATGTTCAGTTGATCAAGTTAGCTCCTGTCTCTCGAGTTCATGGAAGAAGCTGGGCATGGTGACACATGCCCAATATCCTAGCACTGAGAGAATCCCTAGGGCTCATTGGCCACCTGAACTAGCTGAAACACCAACTCTAGGTTCAGTGAGAAAGCCTGTCTCATTAAAGAAGGTGGAAAGCAGCCGGGCGGTGGTGGGTAGCGCAAGCCTTTAATCCCAGCACTTGGGAGGCAGAGCCAGGCAGATCTCTGTGAGTTCGAGGCCAGCCTGGGCTACCAAGTAAGTCCCAGGAAAGGCGCAAAGCTACACAAAGAAACCCTGTCTCAAAAAAAAAAAAAAAGAAGAAGAAGAAGAAGGTGGAAAGCAACAGAGGAAGACACTTAACATTGACCCCCCCCCCCCCGCCTCCGTGTGCACACACATGTGCATGCACACGAACACACACTCAAATATACCATACATAAGCACACACAGATAGGCAGCCACCTGTGGCTACATAGAAAGGCAGCATCTAAACTGTTGGCAGTGATGACCTCCGGGAAGGGTTGGGGATGAGGTCATGCCATGGAGGCCAGGGAGTTACTGATCTCAGAGTCACACCCCCGCTTCCCATTGAGTCAGTATGTGTGTGTCGAGGGGGGCGGAGATCAGCCTCTGTTTTCTCTTTCCTGCTCAACCCACCACCCTCTGAGGGAGGGAATGGGTCCTGTGCCCACAGTCCATGTAGCATCCAGAGCTGCCTCTTGGCCTCATAAGGAAGCTGTCCTTGGTTGTGGCAGAATGAAACCAGCCATGCTTAGTTGGTTCCCGGCTAAAGCTGTGAATATTGTTCACAGTGAAGATCATGTATAAAAGACAATGGTTTTCTATTTTTCAACGTCCTCATTCCCCCGGCCCCCCGCTTCTCCTACATCCTTTCTCCTGTTTCCCTACCTGACACCGTCTCTATGCCCAGAGAAGAATGGAGGACACCAAGAAAATGAAGCCTTGAGAACTCCCTCGCAACTCCACGGCAGAGTCCTGTTCCCCCACCCGCCGCTGAATAGTTCACCAGTGTCATGGTAGCCCTCGACACAAACACACTTTTTAACACACACACACACACACACACACACACACACACACCAGGTATGGTGGACCACACCTTTGATCCCTGCCCTTGAGAAGCCGAGGAAGGTGGATTTCTGTGAGTTTAAGGCCAGCCTGGTCTACAGAGTGAGTTGAGTTCCAGGACAGCCAGGGATGTTACACAGAGAAACCCTGTCTCAAAAAAAAAAAAAAAAAAAAAGGAAACACCGTATTGCTGTATAACCCAGGCTGGACACAGACTCACTATCCTCCTGTCCTTGAGTGCTGGGATAGCAGACATGAAGACATGACAGGTGCCTCGCACACATACACATGTAAGCCTCCTCTCGGTCCCATCCATGGCCGTCCCTTGTCTCCGGCTGGCTTTCAGCATGAGTCTTCCCAGGCTTTCCCATTTCCTAACCCTCTGCACATCTCCCTTTTGCATTCAACTAGCGACAACCAAACTCCGCTCAGTGTCCGACACACTCACTCTTACTTCTCTTCTGCTCAGCAGGACACCACACTGCCCTGACCACTTCCAGCTTGTAGCTGGAAGTTTTCTCCAGTCCTGTCCGCACTCCCCCACCACCCCGGCCCGCCGAAGCCCTGTAGCCACTTATAAAATAATCAGTCAGAAGCTTATATTAATTATAACTGCTTGGCCATTAGCTCAGGCTTATTACTGACTAGCTCTTACACTTAAATTAACCCACAATTCTTAATCTATGTTTTGCCACGTGTTCTGCGGCTTACCAGTCTGCTGGCATGTTGTTGCTCCTTTGGTGGCAGCTGGCGTCTCCTATCTCCTGCCTTTCTACTTCCTCTCTCTCCAGTTGGAATGTCCTGCCCAACCTTATTCTGCCTCAGCATTGGCCAAACAGCTTTATTTATCAACCAATCAGAGCAACACACATTCCCAGCCTACAGAAAGACATCCCACAGCACCAGCTAGCTCCCCTTAAGGTCCAACCACCCCACTATGAAATGCCTTATTCAGGACCACCCTCCACTGCTGTATCCCCATGCCATAGTGGTGGAGTAGGCACAAGGCAGACCCGGGTTAGGCAGCCTGGGGTCTGGCTGGCGTGAATAAGGCACTCTGGTGGTGACAGAAGCTTTTGTCCCACAGGACGGATATCATTTCGGACCTTGAGGAGCAGATCTCCGAGTTGACGGCGGTAATAGAACAAATGAACAGAGACCACCAGTCTGCCCAGAAGCTAGTGAGTGATCCTTGCATTGACCACACCCTCAGGACTCACACTTTCAGGGCATCTGCGTGCCAGGCAACGAGACAGGCACTTGGCTGTAGTGAGCCATGCTATCCAGGCACAGGACTCCACCGCAAAGAGGACTGTGCACTGAGCAGTATTTCTCTGCCTGCATCCTCGTCCATATCTAAACACTCAAAGACGTTCCATTCCAGAGGTTCTCCGGGTGCCTCTGGGTATGGGGTGACACTGTCTTCTCCACACTCCAGTCTCTGATTACTCCCCCTCTGGCCTTTGGCGTGGATACAGCTGCAGAGGTTGCCAGGCTATTGCTAACGACCCCAGCATGGAGGATGTTGTGCAAAAGCTTTTCATAAGACCCCGGCGTCCACTCTCTGTTACTCTTAAGCTCTCAGGGTCCATTCTTCAGAAGCAGCTGGAGTCCTTTCAGTCTTGATGTGGTTTTTAAAAAAAACAAAAAACAAAAAAAAAAAACAGGTGACATTGTTAACATTTTGGTCATCAGGTCCAATTTGATCCCTTTTCCCCCAGCTCAGACAGGTGTACCTGGTGACCAGGCTGGAATGACAGACCGGAGCCACACTCGGGAGCATGCACCCTGGTGTTATTGAAGTGGACCTGTGAGGGCTCCATCTCCCCAAAGCAGCCTCTTCAGGCTGCTTGGTCCCAGGCTGTCTGAATCTGACAGTGAGCTGCCCTCCTGACCAGGCTGAGACCTTTCCCACCTCCAAACTCTGCCAGTTTGCTGGCTTCTGCCGACGGGAAACTGAGGTCTGAAACTGAGGTCTGAGCTTCAGGCAAATTCATGGTTGCCTCTCCAGCCCAGGCCCAAAGGAAGGCAGCTTTAGAGACTGTCTTTATTGGGGGCTGTGGGGGTGTGTATCTTCAAACTAGTACTACTTGTGAACAGCTCATTTGTAGTGTGACCTTCGAGAGGTCTCAGTGTGGCATTCAGGATGACAGTGGGTTGGTGGTGAGGGATAAGACGTTTTTTAGAAGAGTTATTAACACCACAGACAGACAGACAACCGCAGGCAGAGACTCTGAGGCGTTCATGCCCCATTACCTCAGCACACTGGGACTCTGAAGAGGAGCCCGGCCCACAGTATGGAGGAGAGTGTTCTTCTCAAAGGAGCCAGCAGCCAAGACTCCCCAGCTGGAGGCGAGGAGGAGAGTGAGGGGGGAATGTGTGGCCACAGGGAGCCCCTTGATGTGATTGCGGCCTGACAGTCGGTTCTTGGTGACTCTTCCAACCAAGCCTGTGGCTAAATAAGTGACCCCCAAGTGTGAAGGAACAGAGGGCACCCGGCCCGGTGACAGGCCCCACCATGATTAGGCAGGGGACAGTCAGCAGCCCCACCCACTCTCAGTGTGTGCCCTCCGCGCTGCGGAGCCCACCCAGGAGAGACTGAGGCACGCACCCCCCTCTGATTGGAGGGGCTGCGGAGATGCCGGTGAGAGCCGGCTGGAGACCCCTCTGCCACGCTGTTAACACCCCCCCCCCCAATTTTCCAGCTCTCCCAGGAGATGGATGTCCGCTGCAGTGAAATGAAACAGAAGTTTGAAAATGAGAGCAGGTAGGCTTCCTGGCGCAGGCCCTGTGTGTGCGGGAAGCCCGGGCAGGGTGCCGGTTCCCTGGGGGGACCCCCCAGGGGTGCCAAGGGCAGCGGGTGACGGTGTGTGAGGGGTGTGTCTGCAGAGAGCCACCGAGACGAAGCGGTTGATGTTTTGCGTCTCCTGCTTTTGCAACATGCATCCTTTTCGTTTCCGCCGTCATACGTCATACGTCTGTTGATGGGCTGCTGAGAAAAGCCGGGTTTTTGTCCTCCACGAAGCTTTGTCGCACACGATTTGCTGTGAGCACATTCTCCCTCCTCTGCTCGCGTCCTCTCTCTCTTCCTCCCTCCCTCTGCTTTCCCCGCTCTTAGCTCAGGGCCTGGGGGAGGAGCAGAGCAAGTCCGAGCTCGGGAGGGCGTGAGAAAGAACCGGTGTCGTCTGTGCGGGGGAAGACGCTTCCTGGTGCGGAGACAGCGCCCCTGGTGCCCATCCACAGCCACTTGTTTGTAATTGCTTTCTTATTCTTGAGAACAACTTTAGGTTCTTGATGAAATCAGAGAGTCTGGACTCTGAACGCTGTGCACAATCGCCGCATTATAGAACCAACCTGTGTTGTGTCAACAGATGAGATTTTAAAAATGCTGTTCTGCCTCCAAAGAGAGGGAAATCGCCTCAATTGTTGACGGCACGGAGAGAAGGGAGGGCGTGATGCTGAGCGAAACAATCCAGGCAGAGGCAAATGACTGTGTTCTCACTTGTGTTGGGAGCCTAAACCTCACAGAAAACAGAACAGGGACAAGTGGTTACTTAGGCTAGCCCGTGAGAGGCGAGGGTCCACGTGTACAGAATTTGGGTCGGTGCTTCCAACGGGCCTGAGGACCTGGGTTTCATCTCCAGGACCCACGTGATAGAGAGAGGAGACTGAGTCCCTCCAGTTATCCTCCAGCCTCCATGTATGCCTGCGCGCGCACACACATACACACACACACACACACACCATACAAACACACACATACACACACCATACATACACACACCATACACACACACAACCATACATACATACACAGACACCATACACACACATTCACACACACAACCATACACACACACCATACACACACACATACACACCATACACACACACATACACACACCATACACACACACATATACATACCATACAACACACACCATACATACACACATACACATATCATACACACACACCATACACACACACACATATCATACACACACACCATACAAATACACACACACACACACACACATACACACACCATACACACTAATTAAATAAATGTAATGAAAAAAAATTTTTTTCAGAGCTGAGAACCGAACCCAGGGCCTTGCGCTTGCTAGGCAAATGCTCTACCACTGAGCTAAACCCCCAACCCCATGAAAATGTTTTAAGGTGTATAAAAATCTCAGACTGGAGAAATGTTTTTCAAAGGGATTTCCAGGCCTTAGTATAGTAATGCTATTGTGCGCTTCATTTTTGATGAGCTCATTTTAGGGCTGGCGAGATGGTTCAGTGGTTAGGAGCACCAATGCTCTGGCAGAAGGTCTGGGTTTGGTTCCCAGCACTGGTGCCGTGGCCCACACCTGTCACTCCAGTTCCAGGGGAGCCAACACCCTCTGGCCTCTGCGGGTACCACACTCACTTATACAAACACACACATGGGAACAAAATTAAGAAACAAAAACAAAAACTTTTTTAAAAAGAAGTGAATTTCAAATATTTTCACCCCCCCCCAAAAAAAAAGAAAAAAGAAATTAACCATTGAGTTGATGGATGTGTCGACTAGATTGATTTAATTATTACACTGTACTCATAAATTAGAACACCATGTTTTATGCCATAAGTATCTGGAATATAAATCATTATTTAAGCAAAACTGAAATCCTAGCCGAGACAGCACCCTATATGAGCCACAGCATCTTACATATGCAGTGATGTGTATATTTATTTGTTTCATTATTTTTTTAGCAGTTTAAAGTTTACAGCAAAATTACTAGAAAGGAACAGCGTGCCCACACACCCCTTCTGCCCCTTCCCATAGCCTCCTTCATTTTCAGCGGCCCTGAAAGATGGACATTTGTCACAGCTGATGCGCCTGCATGGATACATCATTGTCACATGCTTGGGGGCCACTCTGGGCGCAGAACATTCTGTGTGTGTGTGGACGTGAATTCACCGTGAGAGTGTTGCACGTAGTGGTTGCACTATTACCTTGATATATACCACTTACTGGCCCCCTCCCAAGGCAATGCCTAGAAACCACTGATTGGTTTATTGTCTCCGGTTTTTCTCACATCAGCTGATGTTGGAATAACATAGCGTGTAGTCTTCGCAGATCAGCCTTTTTCCTGTAGTGACGCATGTTTGTTTCTTCCATCTGACTCATGGCCTGGAGACTCTCACTTTGACGCCCAAACACTGTCAGCATAGGGACCCTGGCATGGGGCTGGAGCTGGGCTTCTCAGCTTACTGTGGGCCCTTCTGTAAGTGAGCTGCCAGAAGCAGGGACTGCGGACTGCTGAGGCGTGGCCGAGGCCCTTGCCCAAGCTCTGTGACTGTAGGAAATGTCTCACTCTGGATAGAGGCCAGGAGAATGCTCCGGGAATTGAGGGCCCCACCTTGATGAGAATGGGTGTGTGTGTGTGTGTGTGTGTGTGTGTGTGTGTGTGTGGTCAGTGCAACAGCTCCACTCTGGACTTTTTTGTAAGTGTGTGTGCACGCGCACACTTGGTCACAGTGTGCCTGGCACCGTAGACGACCACTTTGGAAGTCCGTTCTTTTCCTTCCACCATGGCTTCCGGGGATCGGTTCAGTTTCGTGGGTACCACGGCAAGCGCCTGTCCCTGTTGAGCCGACTTGCTGACATCGCATCTCTCTTCACCCGTTGTCCCACAGCGATCTCAAAAAGGCTCACCGGGTGGAGCTTGAGAAGTTAGAAAGCAGCTACAAAGATGCACTGAAGGTGGAGAAGGCGCAAGCCCAGGAGAAACTAGGTACCGGCGGGCCCTGGAGGGTCCTGGGAGGGAGCCTGGGAAAGGCGCCGAGTCCCATGGCCGTGGTTGGCACAGCCCAGTGTCTGAGATTTCCTTTCTGAAGCTCAGGGGGATGTGGGTGACTAAGGATGACACAGGAAGGGGGGTGGCGCTATGTCCTTGCTTTTCTCTGAAAATCTGCTTTAATCCGTGAAGTGAGAATGTGAAATATGTTAAGTGCTTTTTAAAGTTCTAAAATTATAATATCATTATGACTTCTTCAGGTTTTCTCACATGTAAAATGGCAGTATTTGAGTGCATCCTAATGGACATATTGTTTTTGCAAGACTCTGCGGTGGGTGGGGCTGTCCTGACTGGATCTCACCGCTTACACTGCCCTTGGGAAGAGCAGTGTGTGCATCCTTCAGATTCTGGGATTATAGACTAATGCCCACGGAGAGAAGGAGAAACTCTACACTATAGAGTCTATAATCCTTCATTTTAAGTTAGTGTCTTATTTATACTTCGCTTGTTTTCCAATTTCCTATAGAGAATGTGTGGTTTTCAGAACCATGGTGAAGGGAGAAATGTTACTGAAAGGACAAACAGACGCACACGCAGGCTGGGAGGTGTTGCTCTTTCCCACAGACAAGGATTTACTCCCAGGGGTTCTTACTAAAATGGCTGAACAGAGCACGTGAGTTCCAGTATCTCTGAGAAACATTTGTCGAAAAGTACCAGGCCCCTCCTCCAGAGGCTCTTCATCAGTCGGCTCAGGCATCAACATCTGGGTTTTTAGTACGCTTCCAGAGTGACTGGGGAGTCACATGACGGATTTCATCACCTCAGGAAGAGCTCGGGTGTGGTGCTGAGGAGGTCACGTGAGATTTGGGAAGTGTGCCCGGCAGAAATCGTAATGCCGTCGTTTTCTTTTCTTCCAGAGGAGATGGGCAAAGAATATAAGTATCTGAAGAATATGTTTCACATGTATCAGGTGAGAGCCTCGGAGCTGTGTGGGAGATTCTGAGAGGACAAATCAAGGCTCTTTCCTGGCCGACAGCCTCGGGCTGAATCCCGATCTGTAGAGATTCTAACATTTCTTCCACCACACGGTCACCACTGTACCCAGCAGGAAGCGTCCATGCTTGACAAACCGGCCATGCACGTCTGCAGAGGCCTGTCGAAAGAAATGTTCGTGGTCATCAAAGTAATTGCTGTTGACTGTTTTTCAGAACGGAAGAGGAAGAAGACTAGGGCTGGAAAGGTGGCTCAGCAGTTAAGAGCACTGGCTGCTCTTCTAGATGTGGGAGACCTGCTTCCACTCCCCCTCCCTGCCGCCCCCAGGGTACTCTTGAGGAGAGAGGGATAAGAGATTTAGATAGAAATATAGAGGGGAGAGAGACAGACAGAAACACAGGATAGCCTCGGGAGGGCCCGGATCAATATCCACCAGCCCCTTCTGTCTCTTCTAAAGGGCTATTTATAGGAAAGCCAAAGGGTGGAGCAAAAGACACCCCCGCCCCCAAGCACAGACAAGTACAGACCCTTCCAAACACCTGGTGACCATGCATGTGGTCAAGGGCCACCCTCTAATGCAGCCCTGCTGGGTAAAGCAAGCTCAGATCTCATGAGGAAACCTTTGTGGGCCTCCACATCCAGAGGACCCAGATTCAGTTCCCAGCACCCACATGGTGGTCCAAAACCGTGTGTAACTAACAGTTCCAGGGGATCCACTGCCCTCTTCTGACCTCCACAGGCACCAAGCCCACACATAGTGCACAGACATACATGCAGGCAAAACATTTATACACATAAAACAAGTAAATCTGGGGGTTTTAGTGGAAATAACCACCACCACCACCACCAAAAAGAACTGTCACTCCCCAGAGGTAACCCCTACAAATACCTGCACTGTGTCTTAACTTTCACTGAGACCATGGTAAAGCAAATCTATGTGCATTTTTGTATCTTCTTCTCATTGGGCATGTTAGTGCCTTTCCTTCCTTCCCTGTTCCTGCGATCCTAATGAACACACCTCTGGGATCTCACTGTCCCCTTCCCGTTGGCCATGAGCTATTTCGATCCTTGCTGAAACAGAAAATAGCCCTTTGAACATATTTAATCCTAGCAGTGGAGGGCTGGTCAAAGGACTGAACCTAATTAATGCCTTTCACAGATTTGGCCAAATCGCCATCCAAAAAGTCTGTCTCATTCTACTTCCCATGAGCTCAGCGCGGGAGTCGTTTCAGAACCCAGCCCGTTCTAGATTAATAATTCATGTGGGAGAGCCCAGCCCGCGGTGGGTGGGGCCACCTCTGGGCAGGTGGGCCTGGGGTGTGTATAAAAGCAGGCTGGACAAACCAGAGGAGCAAGCCAGTGAGCCACACTCCTCCATGGCATTTTTGCCAGTTCATACATTGAGATCCCGCGCTGACTTCCCTCCATGATGGGATGTAACGTCGACATATAAGCCAAATAGACCCTTTCCTGACCGAGTTGCTTTTGATCGGAGCAATAGACCATGAAATAGGAAATTCCCCAAACTTGATGAAGTCCCAGAGTTGGAGCCCTCTAACAGGGAGGTGCAGAATTGGATGGAATTCTCTGATACAGAGAACCTTCAAAGGAAGTCCGATCCAGCTTGGCAAATGCTGTTTGTAGATGGCCGCTGATGTGGCTTATCCCCGCTCTCCGCTGAGCTTAGCTGGAATTGTTTTCCTTCAGTATCACCCACACAGGGGCCCTCGGTGAGGCCCCAGCACCGTGCTGAGCTCCGGAGGGTGCGGTCACTGTCTCGGCGGGGTCCCCATGCTCTAGCTCTTTTCATAGCGCCCCTGCGCCTCCACAGGACAGCATTTACGATGAAATGGAAGATAAGTGGTCAAAGCGGAAGGCGGAATGGGAGAAGGATGAGAAGCTGGAGCGGGAAAAGATCCTGTTACAACAGAGTGAGTACCGCAGAGGCCACTGAACAAAAGAAGCCCGCTGTCAGTCTCAACCTTGACTCTAGGGGCCCTGGGTTTACCCAGGGTGAAAGGCCAGAGGCTGAACTTTCTGGATGAAGGGTGCCTTGAGTTACTAAGAAAGACGGACAATGAAGGCAAGGCTTTTTTTTTTTTTTTTTTTTAATTCCAGACACATGAATCAAGGGATCCAAAACTTTCATGTTCTCCCATCACGGGCAGGAACAAATATGGGAATTGGGACCTCTAAAGAAATATAGAACCAGGCGGCTATGGCCCACACCTTTAATCTTAGCACTTAGGAGGCTGAGCCAGGCAGATCTCTGTGAGTTTGAGGCCAGCCTGGTCTACAGAGCGAGATCCAGGATAGCCAAGGCTGTTACACAGAGAAAACCTGTCTCGAAAAACCAAGAAAAAGAAAAAGAAAAAGAAAAAAAAAAAAGAAATATAGAATCCAGAATCCTAAAATTCCAGAAGGAATTCTTGAATTAGAATTAAGTTATTCAGTGTGTATGTGCTGGGGGGGGGGATGGGGGAGGGGGAAAGAGCAGCCTTATCCTGACAGCCTGTGTCCTCCACATCTCCTACAATAGAAGCCATGACTGGTAAGTATTTTCAGTATTTCTGACACTTGACTAGAGCTTAGCTCATACAAAGCACCCCATAGTTGTGGCTCTCACCCGCTGAGCTTCCTAGGAAAGGAAATTGGAAGATGCAGAAATTGTTACTGGATCTAGATAGAGGTCTAATGGGGACAGATGTGGGCCTTCTACACACCCAGTCCGCATCCTATGCCAACTCCATTCACTGTACAGTTACTGGTTAAAATCCAATCGGTCACTTAACTGCAAAGGCTTCTGGGAAAGTCAGCTCCCCTAATAAGGACTGCCCAGGCACGGCAGCCAGAGGATGCTGGAGTTGAAGCTGGGAATGAGATCTGGAGTTACATCTGCTTAGGGCTTTGCCTGGAATACTGCAGCGCCAGAAGAGTACCACACTGGAAAAAAAAAGGGGGGGGGCCTCCATCAGGATGCAACCCCAGTTAGGTTTACATCATGTAGCCCAGAGTTACTGGGTCAGCCCAGAGACACCCACCCACCCATCCCTGCAGCTGGGCACTGAAGGAATTGTGTCTGATCTTTCTGTTTGGTACTGGGGCTCCGCCGCCGGGTCTTCCAGCCCTGGGAACAGTGAACCTACCTCTGCCCTGGGGCCAGGCGTGAACTTTGATTATGAACTATGTGGCTAGCCAAGAGCTTTAATGAAGAAGATGCCCGAGAAAGCATAGTCATGACTCCAGCAGAGGAAACAGAACAGGCTGCAGCTGGAAACTAAACCATGTACAGAAGAACTGAGATACTGCCCTGTGGCTGTAAGAACTGAGATAATCAGTGTGGCTACTGTCGCAGCCCACAGGAGGAGGCCCCTCTCCCCTGAAAGATCCTCAGCTTGAGTCAAGTATAGAACTGCTTCTGATTTCAGTTGCTCTGGCTTTCTGACCTGCTTTTCCCCATGTTCATGCACAAACCTGCCCTGTGTTCTCTCCTCCACAGAACATAAGATGACCAAGAAGTTTGAGTTAGAGTCGGAAGAAGAAAAGAAGAAAATGAATGACTCCTTCAGCGCCCTCTTTGAGAACTTCACTCGTGAGAAAGAGGTAACGGGACGCTCACAGTGGAAGGTGTGGTCCAGGTGGCGCATGCAGCTGAGTCCGCTGAGCCCACATCCTTAGATGACTTCTTGTCCCCAACAGACATGCCCCTCCTTGTCCAACTTTCCTGGAAATACATGCAAAAAGAATGATGGTTCTAGTTTGCTTTTGGTGGCTGTGAAAAATCATGACTGAAAACCATTTGAAGGAAAGGGATTTATTTCATCTTACAGGTTGCGGTCCATCATCAACTTCTAATGCAGGCAATCAAGGCAGGAACTTTAGAAGGAACCACAGAGGAACACTGCTTACAGGCTTTCTTACTTACTGAACACTTTCATGTTCAGCTGCTTTTCTTATACAGCCCAGACCCACCTGCCTAGAGATGTTACCACCCACCACAGGCTGGACCATCCTGCATCAATTGGCGGTCGAGAAAATGCCCCCTAGGCATGCCCACCAGCTGACCTGATGGAGGCAACCCCCAAACTGAAACCCACTCAAGTCCCTCTGGGCTGTGTCAAGTGGACAGCTGAAGCCAAGTAGGAGAATGATCACCCTGGGGTCCGTTATAGCCAGGCACTCTTACCACAGGATTTTTGGAATGAAAGTTACAATTCGTAGGAAATAGCAGGACACTAAATATGTAAAGCCTCTAAAGTACCATGGTTTGCCAACCTTGCATCTCTGAATGCTGCCCCAGCCCTTTCTATAGATGAAGGAAAAGACATTAGTGTCAGCTAGTCAAGTCAGTTTGGTCACGTACCACCCCTAGTAAATGAAAATAGCTACCTAAGCCGAGCAGTGGTGGCGCACGCCTTTAATTCCAACACTCGGGAGGCAGAGCCAGGCGGATCTCTGTGAGTTCGAGGCCAGCCTGATCTACAGAGCGAGATCCAGGACAGGCACCAAAACTACACACAGAAACCCTGTCTCAAAAAAAGAAAAAAGAAAGAAAAGAAAAAGAAAGAAAGTAGCTACCTAAAATCTAAAGTAAGAGACAATACAAATAGCTGTGAGCCAGTAAGAAAGTTCTCGACAAGATTTTCCCAAACAGATGGACACTGACTAAGCAGAGATATGTTAGTGTCAGCCCCAAACACTTCACATGCCTGGTCCCTGAACTTTTGGGTACACTAAAGGATTGCTGGCAGCGGATGTCGTCACATTATCGGGGTAGAACTCTGTAACCGTGGTCACCATCAGCCAGCCAGAATGCCTCCCAAGCAGGACAGAGGACCATTCTGGGGCATCACTCCTAAGTGCGTGTGTGTGTGTGTGTGTGTGTGTGTGTGTGTGTGTGTGTGTGTGTGTGTCCCAGACGACAGCTCTTTTGGTTTCTACCACCATGGACTAGATTTATCATTAGTTTTTGTGTTGTTAAAAAAAAAATGTTGGTTTTGTTGTAGTAGCATAATTTATTGAAAAAATAAACACAAACACAGTTGTTAGTCATCCTGCAAAGTGTCAAAAATCAACCTTAAAAAGTTTGTAAAAACTAAATGTAGGCAATATCCTCCTCCATGAACCTCTAAGGACAATGAGCACACCAAGACAAAGGCTGGTGCTTGTCAATCCTCACACAACTGAGCAGCAGGTTTTTTAACATTCTGATTTTTAAGTTTAAGTAGCACGAGGTAAAAGAATACTATTCCCCCCCCACACACACACACACACACTGTCTCTGAACTTTGCCCAGTTTCAAGGCAAGGGTCACTTTGTCCTTATGAGCCACCAGAGATGAGGGTGACTTGGGTATTCCTCTTTCTGACAGACCCCTTGCTTCTTTGGGAGGAGCCATATGGATGGGCTTCTGTGGAGCTGAATCTGTCACAGTGTGATGGCCAAAGAAACTCCATTTTATGCTAGGTGGCCATCTTGGTATCCACTAGTCATTTGTGTCTTCTGACCCCAGTTCCACCAAGAGGAGTTTCCAGTAACCCTGACTCAGTGGCCCCCACCCAGAAATGGACAGCCGGGACCATCTGCTTGTTATGATATGACTAACTGCTTTCTGGCTTCTGCAGCCTGCTAGTGCAGCCCGTCAAGGACTGTTTCGGGGTTGCCTTGGCTACCTAATCTTGGCAGAGCGGAACAGCTCCTGGCTTGCTTGTACAGACACTCACGGTCTTCTTGTGGTTTTCACCTTCAAAAATCCTTCTCTCACTTCCCTTTGCATGGCAGTCTCATTTGGCTCAGAGATTGTTGTCTTGCTAGCAATATCAACAAATTTAGCTAGTTATAATCCGGATGGAGTCTGTGGTCTTTTTTTAACTGGGGTCTCAAACTCCGTAACAGCCGGCTGGCTCGGGAGCAGGGTTCCACCGTGGAGACCTGTAAGCCTTCAGTTGGCTTTCTGTGGCTCACTGTAGCTGGATTTAGTTTTAAGGTCCGGCATCTTCCAGCCATACCTTAACTCCTCCACTTCCCCTTTCCTCCTCAGCTTGGTTTATCACTGTTTGTTTTCTCCTCCATTTCTCCCTTCCCTCAGCTGCTTTTCTCACACTTCATATTTTCCTTTGTTCTTTCTGTGCAGACATCCTTTCTCTGGTCTCTTCACTGATTTTTTCTCTCTATTAATGGAATTTATTTTTAATATTTGTTACTATCAAGCCAGGCGTATAGTGCACACCTTTAATCCCAGCACTCGGGAGGCAGAGGCAGGAGGATCTCTCTGAGTTCGAAGCCAGTCTGGTCTACATAATGAGTTCCAGGACAGGCAGGACTATGGAGAGAGACCTTGTCTCAATGAAACCAAATATACATTAACATCTAGTAACAGTTATTTTCTTTCTGGTCATCGTTTCTCCTGTGCCCATTCCTATGCTTCTCTTTAGTAATTACCTTTTTTTCATGTCTCTCCCCTTCCTTCCCTTTCATAGTTGATGAAATTCTGCCCCAAGTTTTCTCTTAGGACAGCCCTGTTCCTTCTTCTCAACAGACCTCACTTCCTGTGGGGTCAGGGTGCTTTGTGGAAAGCCCCTGCTTCCGTCCTGATCATCCTCTGTCTGGGTGCATTCCCTGGAGCCCGTCAGCTGCATCCTCTGCAGACTCCCATCTCCATCGCTGAATCAGCCTCTTCTCTGCCCCAGCCTTCCCATCCTTCACAGCAGCATGGAAGGACTGCTGGCCCCTGAGAGGTGGGCTAGTGAGTGCTCAGATGTCACCCCCACCTCCAGCCTCAGGCCCACCCTCAGAGGGGGGCATCATGAGAACAGTGAAAGACCCAGGAAGACCAGGACAGCGCTGGGCCCACATCTGCTCAGGAACTAGTTGAGGGGAGGAGAGACCGGAAACACATCCCTCTGTACCTCTGGCCCGCAAGCTCAAACTAGCCAAGAAGCAGCGCTGGTAGATTTTCAGGTTTTAAAACTTACTGTAGACAAAACTGTGTGGCTATGCCCCTTCGTGGAGAGCTTTTCCCTCAAAATAACATCGATGAAATTGACTCCTTTGGTTTTCCTATTCATAAATTCCGTTTGTAAAGGTGTTTTAAGACACATCTCTCTCTTAGCCCAGGCTGAGCTCCAACTGATGTGTAACCCAGGATGACCCCGAGTTCCTGCTCTTCCTGCCTTGGTCTTCCTGCACTAGGATTACAAGCATGAGACCATATGCAGCTGTCCCTTTGTAGAAAGGTCATGCAGTGTGTTTATTGTTTTCCTGGTTTGGAATACTGGGATTATCTCCATGTATTGGCTTTTAAACAAAGCGTCTATGAACATAGATATGTGTTTCATAGATAAACGCTCTTACTTATCTTGAAGTACTATGAGAGCTCCAGGGAACATATAAGAAATTTGTGGTTTCCACAGTAGAGTGCTGTTTCACTCTTGGATCTTAAATAAGTGAATTCTGACTGTACCAAATCCTCCACCATTAGTTCACTCGGTCTTTAATCACGGCCATTCTAGTGGCTGTGAAGTGCATTTCACTATTTTTTCAGTTTCTCTGATGCCTGAACACATTGGCCAGTTTTTCAGATTCGGGGGAGGGTAGCATTGATATATTACTACCTTCTTTGATGCGTCTGTTCAACTCTTCATCATTTAAAAGATATGGATACAAATATTATGTATATAAGTTGCAAATAATAACTTCCAGCCTAAGGGTTTGCTTTTTCATTTTGCAAATGTTATCTTTCAATGTGCAGAAATTTCTAATTTTGATGAAAGACAAATTGTCAACCTTTTATTTTTATAATTAAATGCCTCTTCTGTATGTCCTGTAACACTGTTGCCTATCATCAGGCCATGAATATATTCTCTTTTTAGAAGCATTATAATTTTAACATTTCTGAGTCTATGATCCATGTTGGATAATTTGTGTGTGTGTGTGTGTGTGTGTGTGTGTGTGTGTGTGTGTGTGTGTGTAGAATGATGCAGAGGTCATAGGTCATTTTTCTATATGCATATACAATTATTCCAGCATCATTTCTGAAAAAAAAAAAAGACATTTTCTTTCCTCATTGAGTTGTCTTGATGTCCTTGGAGTAGAGGACAAGATTCTGTTTCCCATTCTGCTTAACCTTTTATCTACACTCAAGCCAACAACTCGTTGTCTTGGTTCCATTTAGAACCAGTTAGTACAGGTAGTTTGACTTTGCTATTGCTTTTTTGTTTGTTTTCTTTTCTCTCCTGTTATTTTATTTATTAGCTTTGGTATTGTTTTCCAAGGTGACTTTTACTTCCTTTATCATTTTGCATTTTTGTTTGTGTAAATTTTAGAGCTTGTGTGTGTGTGTGTGTGTGTGTGTGTGTGTGTGTGTGTGTCATGAATCTTAAAAGTTTTCATTAATAAAATCAAACCTGAGGCCAGTTATTGGGGTGAATGCTGGAAGATCAGAGAAGCAGAACAAACCACAGCCACCTCACCTCGCTGGTTCCTCAGCTGATCCTGTTTCCTCAGACTGGAAGCCTCTGAGTCCTTATCCAGATGAATCTCAGCTGAACTGCTGCTCAAAAGCCTAAAAGCTTAACCAGCCAAATGCTTCTAGTTCCTGGTCTTCATACCTTGTATATCTTTCTGCTTTCTGCCATCACTCCCTGGGATTAAAGGCATGAGTCACCATGCCTGGCTGTTTCTTTCCAATGTGGCCTTGAACTCACAGAGATCCAGAGGGATTTCTGCCTCTGGAATGCTAGGATTAAAGGTGTGAGTGCCACCATTTTCTAGCCTCTGTATCTAATGGCTGTCCTGTTCTCTGACTCCAGATAAGTTTACTAGGGTGCACAATATTTTGGGGGACACAATAACACCACATTTGTGTGTGTGTGTGTGTGATCTCATGTATCTATCTATTTATATATATATATATGATAAAGATAAATAAGATACTTCAAAATGCCACATCTCCATTGCTAACGCCTAAGTTCAGGAGTGTTATATTCCTGAATCCTCTGGTGGCTTCTTAGTTCTCTAAAAGAATATCCAGAACCACAGTGCTGACTTTTCCAAATAAAATTTTTTTCAGGATCTCATGAAACAACTCGATGATGCTAACTTGCAAATACAGGAGTTGAGAAAATCCAAGGAGGTAAGCATTTCCACGAAACTAGTGTCTTGCAAATGATACACTCTCAGGAAAATGAAATGCAATTTTACCCCAACCAGTAAAATTAATGGAGCACCTAAATCTAAGTGTTGGACCCAGTAAGTCAAAAGAAATCTTGAACTGTATGTAAAACAAATGTAGCCCCCCCCCCCAAGCCGGCCGTGAACAAATACATCAGCAATACACTGCAGGGTCAATGTTGAATAACTTCCGTGTCTAGCAAAGCTTAAAACACAGGACTTTGGATTACAGACACCACGTTCTTCCCTCTGAGCCCTGAATCTTCCAAATGCCTTCTGCAGAAGTTTGTCCCTAAGGCCCTCCCCTGGGTGTACCTTACACACGGTGGTGTCTACAGGGCTCCCTCCTGCTGGGACACACAAGGCCATTTGGGAAGGCTGATGAGGCGGTGCGGGGGGGGGGGGGGGGGGGAGTCTATTAAATAACAGTAATTTGTGTTTCCCCTTTCCCTGAAAATTTAATTTGTATCCAGAATAGACATGCCTGAGATAGATTAGCCATCGCAGGCATCATGCAGAAATCTTATCTTCAAGCCCCGGCAGGGCCAGCAATGTAAGGGTCATACAAACTACAGCATCCTACAAGTAAGGGGGTGGCCCCAGACCAGGGAGTCCTAATGCAGCCTCCGAACAGCCACTGTGAGCTTCTCTACTAGGTATCATTTCTGAGTCCGTTTCCATCCTGATTTATTTCTCTGCAAGCTGGCTGAGTTTTTAGTCGGTGCTGGTCATTGCGTAGCTTACCTTGTTGGGCACTGAATATGTTTATATTTTGTTAAAATTTAAAACTTCCAATGCTCACAAACCGTGTTCTGGGATGCACTCACGTGGTTTGGGGACAGTCTGATCCTTTGGAGTCTGGCTAGTCGGAGTTAAAGCTTGGTGTAGAGCAACCCCTTCTGAAAGGCCTCTGCGTTTCAGCTGTGCTCCAGCCTGGCTGGTGGGACTATGAATTACTCTCAGTCTGTGTCGTCCAGGGCTTGTTCCACCCGCTCCCTTCTCCCCCTCAATTCATCTCCTTTGCTTCTGTCTTCCATCACTCCACTCCAAAGTCCCCGGACTTCTTCTTGGTTCTTTAAAGGGATAGAACGCTCCTACCTTGAGGGGTCTTTGCCTTTGATAGTGTGTCTTCCCAAACATCCCTTTCCCAGAGATTTCCATCTCAAGCTTTTTCCCCTCTTCTGGTCTTTACTCAAATGGCAGCCTCTCAGGAGTCACTATTTAATTTAAAGGCTCAGCTCTCTGCCCCAATACTTTTTTCTCTGTTTTGATTTTTTGCATAAATTTATAATCATCTAAGCAGATAAATTCAGTGAAAGAAAGCCTTTCGGTATGTTTTCCTTCCTTTCTTTTTTTGTTTTTGTTTTGTTTTTAGTTTGGTTTTGGTTTTTCAAGACAGGGTTTCTCTGTGTAGTTTTGGTGCCTGTCCTGGAACTCACTCTGTAAACCAGGCTGGCCTCCAACTCACAGAGATCCGCCTGGCTCTGCCTTCCAAGTGCTGGGATTAAAGCTGTGTGCCACCATGCCAGGCGGAAGAAGATACACTTATGATAAAATATAAGCATGATATCATTCCTTTGGAGGAAAGAACCATTCATTAGCCCCATTGGGGGTGGGTGCACTCCGGCGACAGACCAGCCAAGGTTGCAGTTTGGTATTTGGTATTTGGATACAGATGGGTATCTCTGAATCGTAGAACATGGGCAAGGACAGATGGAGTTCCTGACATAATGAAAGAAGCTGGTGTGTGTAGAGAGCAGAAAGACAGGCAGAGAACCCTGAGGACAACGTCAGGAACTTTGTCTTCTGTGCATGTGTGTGTGCAACATGCAACAACAACAACAATAAAAATCAAATATTAAATTTTTAAAAGAAGACACAAAGTTTGGAAAGAGGTAGATCTAGTTAGGGGAAAAGTGGGAAGTTAATATGATCAAATGCATTGTATACAATGTATGAACTTCTCAACAATTAATAAAACTATTATATTTAAAGAAGAAACCTTTAGCCAGGTTGTAGTGGTACATGCCTTTCATCCCAGCACTCGGGAGGCAGAGGCCAGCAGATCTCTGTGAGTTCAAGGCTAGCCTGGTCTACAGTTCCATAACAGCCAGGGGTACACAGAGAAACTTTGTCTCAAAAAACCTAGATAGATAGAGAGATAGATAGGTTAGGTAGGTAGGTAGATAGATAGATAGATAGATAGATAGATAGATAGATAGATAGATAGATAGACAGACAGACAGACAGATAGACAGATAGGATAGACAGATAGATAGGATAGACAGACAGACAGACAAGAATAAACGGACTATGTAGTGACTGGCTGGTGATGGCCGTGACTACCCACTGGGACTCTGATGAGGCCTGTTTGGCAGCAGTGACAGTGAGACTCAAGAGCAGGGTACAGGTGGGAGAGAAAGAGAAGTGTGGACTCTCGGCACGGTGACTGCTAGGCTGGAAGTGGCACAAGAGAAAGCAGCGGACGCTGGCACACCACCTTCTATCCCGAGCGTCCCGTCTCGGGGACACTGCATCAGCACGGTGTCCTGAGGCAGCTTCCTCTTGTGCAGATCCTGGAGGCTGAGTTGCGGGCACAAACTATCGTCCTGGAGACACTTAACACGAACCTTTACCACTGCCAGCTGGACCTCCAGAGAGAGGTGAGTCCTGGCTAGAGAGAGGCCCCGGGGCCGGAGAGGAAGCCAGAGCACAGTGCTGTTCTGCCCAAGAGCCTTGCCCCACGGGCTCTTGGGGAAGACAGCCATTCAGATTTATCTTTTAGAAAGCTATGGTGGGAAATCTGGAGAAGCTGCTGCAGACGAAGCTGGTTGAAGCTGAAGAAAAGTATAAGTACACCATACAGCTCCTGACCGAAGAAAACACCATCCTCAGGTATGGGTGCTGCTGCTCAGGGGGACTTGGCTGAGTTACCTCTGAGAGGGGGAGGGTGTCCAGGTGAGGACTAGGTCAAGACAAACCAGGGACTCCTGGAGGATGTCTCAGTCCTGATCGTTTGGAAGGAGGTGTGGGGCTGGACCTGCACACATGCCATGGAGGTAGATTGTTCATCTGAGGTGGGCAGTTTGTCTGTGATGTATCTAGACTTCGCTCCCCTGGGTAATTTGCCTGTGGATTTTTGAGCTGCTTTGTCCTGTGACTAAGGGTTATTTTTTAGAGTTCAGTGGGTTTTAACTCTCAGATTTGGCATTTCTGGTTCCTGTCGAGACCAGCTGCCCATCAGAACCACTATTCCCTGAAGGGGCTTCTTTTTTTAAATTATCTATTTTATCTAGAGTGTGTTGTGTCTCTGGAGGTATATATTTAAATGCATTGATGTGAGGGTGTCAGATCCCCTGGAACTGGAGTTACAGACAACTGTAAGCTACCGTGTGGGTGCTGGGAATTGAACCCAGGTCCTCTGAAAGAACATTCAGTGCAACCACTGAGCCATCTCACCAGCCCCTCTTAAACCACCAGGATAGAAGATAAGGAACCCATCAGTTTCTATTGGGAATATGATCACCCAAACACCACATTTCACCACATTTAAAGCAACAGTGTGATGAGAGGCCGCTTCCTTGGGCGGGAAGAAAGCCACATTTCTCCGCAAAGACCCTACATCCCCTCTGCCCTTTGAGGCTACAGTGATGCACCGTCCTTTTTACAGGCAGAAGATCAAGAATGAGGACATTTCTGAAGAAAGATCTGAGAAGTCAGTCTCTGCTACTCCTAGTGTATGAGTCGGACTTCCCTGAACCCAGCACCAACAGGAAGTGAGCGTCGTAGATGAGGAACTGTGCTCCTCGGCTGGAGCAGCCGCCTTGCCGCCACCCACCCTGTGGAGCTGTGGACTCCAGCAAGGTTTTCTGGAGAGATGCAGATGGGTTGTTATGGCTTTATTTTTTTGTCTTTTCTTTTTGTTTGTTTTTGTTTTTACAATTTGCTTTCTTCAGAATGATTAGAAATGTTTGAATTCTTATCTCAATTATATCGTGACTCTTCTATGAAAACGGATGTCCTCTGTCCTGGATTTGGACCTTCTGTGGGTCGTACGCTATTTTCTTTTCTGCTTTTTATGTATTTTGGAGACTGGTTTGAAGAGACTTCTAATTAAATGATGCATTTTTGAGGTGTGACTCTTGTGCCCCGAGGGAAAATAGCAAGCAAGACAATTCATTGCTTTCACTCCAAAAAAATTTCTTCTCTGAGATATCACATTCCTTAGGCCAGTGACTTGGGAAGAGTAAGTGATGATTTACTCTGTCTCTGACCATCACAAGAATCCAAACGTCCGCGGGGCAGGCAACATGTACATGGACGTGGGGTGGACACAAGGGAGCCCATCACACAGGTAGCATGCGGAAGCCTCGGTGGAGACTGGAGCAAACCGAGGTGAGCCACACCATCCGTATCTGATCATGGCACTTCTTAGACTTATTGGATCGCCTGCCGTTTGGGTGCACGGGGTCGCCATGATCTAAAACACAAACCCTGGCTTTTATGTGGAGGTGCTCCTTTTAATTACCGACAATGAATGTTAAACAGTGGTTGAAGCCAATCCTAGGAGCCGAATGCTCCCCCCTTGCGAACGTGCCATTTGTCAGGCAAACAAAAGACAGAAACAAAGCACAGGCAAACAGAAGCCTCCTCTAGAAACAGTAAGGTCAATTTACAGTTTGTTCTACCATTTAAAAGCAGCTTTTCTTTCTCACACTTTATTTAGGAGGGAACAGAAAAATACATAATTCTATCAACACAAATTCAATAAAATATATACTAAAGAACAAATCGTAGGACAAATAACTCAGTTTCTTTTTAAAAGGTATGTGAAAAATACAGAAAAATTTATACATTAGTATGGAATTTGAAATACAAACGAACTTCAAGATACACATCAAACAAACTGCCAAAGTGCAAGAAGATTGGGAGATCTTGAATACTGTTATTTGATGTTTATAAAGGCTTTAGCTATCTAAAAAGTGCCTCGTCTTTAGAGACACTTGGGTCTGTCTCTAAAATATCCAGATGTAAAAATATTCCACTCTACTAGAACTCCAGCCAACCCACCCGAGGTAGGCAGGCAGGGAAACAGCTGATGAGGACAGGTCACGGACAGCTACTGAAGTGGGGTGGGGGGACATGGCTTTGCCCTGCTACTGCTTTCTTAATTTTTGTAAATTTGTGAGGATTTCATGTTAAGATTTCTTTTACTTTAAAAAAAAAAAAAAAACCCTTGTGGACAAATGTTAAAGATAAAAACCCGAGGTGACTCAAAGCAACCTCGAAAACTCCTGCTACCACTCTCATGCAGGCTTGAAAAGCATGTGCCTCGTGGCCCTGCCTAGTGTAAGCCCGCCTCTCAGACTAAACGCCCTTTTCAATTGGATAACGGACTGAGCGACATGAACAGAATTCCTATAACATTTCCCCCTTTTTTGTCTAAATAAAAAGGGAAGGTTCTAACTCTAATATAGTAGAACTATATACAACAAGGATTATCAAGTATTGTCCAGATACAAAGGAAAGGTAATATCTTAACAAAAATGAAACTACATACAATAAGAACAATTATCAAGTAAGAAGTACATTCTCAATGTCCAGTCTGTTGTTCAAATCTTAGATGGTGTTTTAATAAAAAACACAGAGCCAGATATCAGAGAGGAAGCTGAAAGATCAGAGAAGCAGAACAGCCAGCCACTAGTTCTTACCTCTACAAAATCCTCAGCCTAAAGAGAGTGAGTTCCTGTTTCCTCACGCCTTATATACCTTTTTCTGCCCAGACATCACTTCCTGGGATTAAAGGCGTGTGTGCTTCCCAATACTGGGATTAAAGGCATGTGTGCTTCCCAGTATTGGGATTAAAGGCATGTGTGCTTCCCAGGACTGGGATTAAAGGCATGTGTGCTTCCCAGTACTGGGATTAAAGGCGTGTACCACCACCACCTGGCTCTGTTTCCAGTGTGGCCTTGAACTCACAAAGATCCAGACAGATCTCTGCCTCCTGAGTGATAGGATTAAGGGTGTGTGCCACCACTGCCTGACCTCTATGTCTACTCTAGTGGCTGGTAATTGGCAAATTTAAGAGAGATTACTCCATTAGCTATCCTCTCCTGAAGAGTCCAAACTTTTGTACCTAACAGACCTTGTGCCATGATTCAGGAGTACTGTAACTGTAACTATCTAGTCTTCAATCTCATCAGAGACCTGAGAAGGAAATAACATCACCTGAGTAAGCAGGACGTGCATAGCAAGCCACTTCCAAAATTATGAGAAATGACAGAAACAGCTGACTGCCTGGACAGTCACCCAAAGTTCTTCCGCAACATTGCGGCATCCATCTTCGGCCTACAGGCCTAGGATATCTGACAGACTTTTCTGTAAAGGGAGAAATTTTGAAGGACTGTCCTACCCTGTCTTTGCAAAGTTCAGCAGTCATCTCCCTTTGTGTCCTGCGTGTCCAGATTGGACAGCGGATTTACTGTCAGCAGTCAAGGCAAGGGCATTTTCTTGCCCAAATGGCTAGCTTTTGCCACAAAGAAAGCAAACCCCATAGGGAGTTTCTCTGATGCCCATCATCCTTTTTTGGAGGTTTTTTTTTTTTTTTTTTTTTTTTAAGTTTTGTTTTAATATTATCTGTAAAACATTTAAAAATCTTATTTTATAAAGACTTCCAGAAGTCAGGCAGTGGTGGCGCATGCCTTTAATCCCAGTACTTGGGAGGCAGAAGCAGGTGGATCTCTTGAGTTCAAGGCCACCCTGGTCTACAGAGTGAGTTCCAGGATGGCCAGGGCTGTTACACAGTAAAATTTTGTCTCAAAAAACCAAAAAGACTTCCAGAAAGAAAAATAGAATTTTCTGATGGACCAACATTAATTTAAAACCTGTAAGTTACCTAAAAAACAAAAATCATTTACTCTTCTTTCTTTTTTATTTTTGAAACAGGGTCTCATGTAGACCAGGCTGGCCTCAAACTCATTTTGTAGCTGAGGACCACACTAAATTCCTGATCCTCCTGCCTCTACCTCTACCTCATGTGTTGTGTGTGTGAGAGAGAGAGCGTGCTATGAGCTCAGAAGGTACCTCGGGGGAGTCAGTTCTCTCCTTCTACCAGTTGGTCTCACGGATCAAACCATGTCACCAGACTCACCCCTTTGTCCAACGGGCCATCTCACCAGCCCTCATTTCCACATTTTCATGAGCATTACATATACTTATTGAAGTATTAGCCAGTAAAGGCATTTGCCACCATGCCTGTCAACCTGAGTTCAATCACCAGGGCCCACGTAGTAAAAGGAAAGAACTGATTCTGACTTACACACACACACACACACACACACACACACACACACACACACACAATATTAAAATTGGTAAGTTTGGCTTTTTCTCATGTGTATGCATATAGGAGGTGCTTGCATGCATGTTCATGTGCATAAAGCATGTGTGAGGCCGCCGAGCAGTGGTGGCGCACGCCTTTAATCCCAGCACTTGGGAGGCAGAGCCAGGCGGATCTCTGTGAGTTTGAGGCCAGCCTGGGCTACCAAGTGAGTTCCAAGAAAGGTGCAAAGCTACACAGAGAAACCCTGTCTCAAAAAACAAAACAAAACAAAACAAAACAAAACAAAACAAAACAAAACAAAAGCATGTGTAAGGGTGCACATGCTTTTGCATGCACATGTGTGGTACTCCTCAGGCACGCTCCACCTTCATCGTTGAGGCAGAGTCTCTTAGGCGAACCCAGAGCCTACAGATAACCGCTAGTCTGGCTACACAGCTTGCTCCAGGGGCCTCATCTCCAAGCGCTGGAATTACAGGAGGGTCGACGTGCCCGTCGGCATTTACACGGGCCCTAGGGAGCTGAACTCAGGTCCTCAGACTTGTTTGGCAAAACTTTAACTGCGGAGCCACCTCCTCATCCTAGTCAAGTTTAATTCCTAACTGCACCAAGTAAACCCAGCCACGTAACTGTTTTTAAAGTTCCTCCAAAAACCGAGGGAGCTTTTTCGATCACCACACACGTTTCCCCAACAGCTCTCTATCTGAAGGGCTTTCACTGGATCAGGAAATTACCCTGGAGCAAGATACTTTCAGAACTAGTGTCTGCAAGTGAAGACTAACCTGGAAGAATCACATATTGCACAGGGGGAAAAAAACCATTTTAATTAACTGGGAATGTCCTAGTGCATCTGATCTTCACCCACCTGCCCAACTTGCCCCAGATCCACTCTCTCCTACCTCACTTTCCTACCCACCCAGCTTCCAGTTTTCTTTTTGTAAACCCACGGAATCCAATTTGTTTGGCCCAACTATTCTTGGGAGTGGGACCTGCCTTGGAGTGTGATTTAAAAACACACAGGGGTCATACCATTTACAAACAAACACACAAACAACCGACTCTCTCCTTCCCAGCAGCTATCAGATGTTAACAGGTCTTCATGTCCTCCTCCCCACCTCCATGCTGGGATCTTGTCTGGCTTGAGCATGCAAGTGCTTGTGTATGCATGCTGTCACAGGAGTTGTGAGTCTGTATATGCAACTGCCCTGTTTTGTCCAGGAAGGGGTTGTATAGTTTTTGGTTGTGCTTTTGTTAGAATATGAAAAAATCCAACCTGAAAGTCATCCCTCTCCCTAAGCTATTCTTGACACTGCGCGCATGTGCGTGAGAACCCCCTTTCCAGATGACCCACCCGGTGTCCTGGAAGTATATCCTAGCTTGCAAACTGCCCTTGTCTTTGTTCATGATTTGTTCCAGGGCACACGAACCTACACATCACAACCAACCTTCTCCCAGCTTTGATATCCACCAGTAACAGCAGCAACCACAAAAAAATCGAATACAATCCCCGTTGCCAAGGTATCCGAATTCAGCTAGGAAGACACGGTAAAATGGCTGGCGTCCTGTCTGAGCATTTAACACACACCATCCCTGTGCCGAGGACTTTGTCGATCAAGGGATTTTACTGCTCCCACTTTAAAGATGTGAAGCCTAACGTTTACATAAATTAAATGTTCGGGGCTGAAGAAATGGCTCAGCGGTAAAGAGCACTGACTGCTCTTCCAGAGGACCCAGGTTCAATTCCCAGCACCCATGTGGCAGCTTACAACTGGCTGTAACTCTAAGATCTGACA